ATTTTTAAAAATTTTTTATAAAAATTTAATAATTTATTATGGAATGGATTATTCTAATTTAAATATAATAATAATTTGAAAATTTGATTTAATTAAATAAAAAAATATTTTAAATAAATTAAGTATTTTAATAAATAATGATAGTATAAGTATATTTATATTAATTATATAGAAATTTTTAAATTTAAAATATATATGTATATATAATTAAAGAATTAGGCAAATTTATTTTATTAAATTAAAATTTTAATTTACTTGTTTAACACAAACATGGTTTTTTGATAATAATTTAAAATTATTTCTGCTCAGTGATTTTTAAATAGCCGCAGTATATTGACTGTGCAAAGGTAGCATAATCAATTGTTTTTTAAATAAAAACTGGAATGAAGGAATTGATGAAATTAAAGCTGTTTCAATTTGTAGATTTAAAATTTAAATTTTAAGTTAAAATTCTTAAAAGAAATTATGGAACGAAAAGACCCTATTGAATTTAATATAATTTTTAAATTTATTTAAGGAAATAAATTTTATTTTAATGATTATATTTTATTGGGAGGATAATTAAATAAAATAAACTTTAATTTAAAGATAATTTTAACATTAATTAATGAAATTTTTATAAAGGATTGATTATTAAATTAAGAAAATTTTTTTTTTTTATAATAATTATTATAAAAATTAATTACCTTAGGGATAACAGCGTAATATTTTTAGAAAGATTATATTAATAAAAATGATTGCGACCTTGATGTTGAATTAAAATAAAAATTAAATGAAGAAGTTTAATATTTTAGTCTGTTCGACTAATAAAATTTTACATGATTTGAGTTCAGATCGGTGTAAGCCAGATCGGTTTCTATCTATAATAAAATTAAGAAAATTTTGTACGAAAGGACTTTTTTTCAAATTATATTTTTTTTAATGAATAAATTTAATTGATTAAATATATGTAAATAAATAAAATTACTTTGGCAGAATTTAAGTGTATTAAATTTAGAATTTAAATGATGTATAATAGAAAAAAATTATACAAGTAATAATTTGTCAAAATTTAAGATTATATTTTTATAGTGCGTTAAATATATTAAGATTGTTAATTTTGTTATTAATTATATTAGTTGGGGTAGCTTTTTTAACTTTATTGGAACAAAAAATTTTAAGATATGTACAAATTCGTAAAGAACCTAATAAGGTGGGATTTATAAGATTATTTCAATCTTTTAGTGATGCTATTAAATTACTTAATAAAGAATTATTTTATGTATATAAATCTAATTATAATTTTTTTATGTCCTATAATTAGATTTGTTTTAATAATAATATGATTAGTATTTCCTTACATTACTAATATTTATTTTTTAAATTATTCTATTTTATTAATAATTGTTTTATAACTATTAGAGGGTATGTTATAATTTTTATGGGATGATCAGCTAATTCGATTTATTCAAAAATAGGGGCAATACGATCAGTTTCACAAATATTATCATTTAAAGTAAGATTTATTTTAATTGTTTTAGTTATTATATTAATAAGAGAGAGATATTCTTTTTTTGATTTTATTAATTATCAATTTTATTTATGATATATAGTAGTTTTATATCCTTTGTTTATTATATTTTTTATTAGGATTTTAGCTGAATTAAATCGAAGTCCTATAGATTTTATCGAAGGTGAGTCAGAATTAGTTTCAGGGTTTAATATTGAATATTTTAGGGGTGGGTTTACATTAATTTTTTTATCTGAATATCGAATAATTATTTTTTTTAGATTAATTAGAATTTATATATTTAGAAATTTATTAAAATATTCAATAATTTTAACTTTTATTTTAATTAATATTTTATGTAGAATAGTAATTTTTATACATGGAATACTTCCTCGAATACGATATGATGAATTAATATATTTATGTTGGAAAATTATTTTACCAATAATTTTAGTTTATATTTTATTAATTTTTGGATTTAAATTTATATTATAAATAATAATTTAGTAAAAAAAATTAAATGTTTAAAAGTTAATAAAAAATTAAAATTTCTTTAATATGTTTTCAAAACATAAACTTAAATTCAAGATCATTACCTTAATTTAATAGTAATTTATAAAAAATTTAAGTATTAAATATAATTATTTTTAATATTTTAAATTTATTTATAATGATAAATTTTTTAATATTTATTTAAAAATAATTAAATCTCAAATTTTTATTAGGAAAGGTAATAAGATAAAATAAAGAAAGTAACATAATGATAAAATTTGTCTAATAATGATAAAAGGTATTTCAATAGGTTGAGCTCCTGCTCATGTTAATAGAATAAAAATATTAATGAAAATTCAAAATAAATATTGATTTAAAGGATAAAATGTGATAATGAATTAAATTTTATAGAAATTAGAGGTAAAAAGTATAAGATAATAATTGATGATAATAATGCAATTACACTTCCTAATTTGTTAGGGATAGATCGGAGGATAGCATAAGCATATAGAAAATATCATTCAGGTTGAATATGAATTGAAAATGTATTTTATAAATAAATGAAATATTATATATATATAATATATAAGTTTATATATATATATATATATATATATATATATATATATATATATATACACAGATATGACAACCGTTATCTTGATTTTTTCCGATTATTGATGTTACATTGTATAACTCTCATTTCTTTCTCTCTGCTACATAATAACTTATGACGTGAAAGAACTTACGAGTAACGTATGATGGCTCAATGCAAGAATATTTAATCACGTAAAAAACTTGAGTTCAAATATATCAATATCAATTTTTTTATAATATATTGGAATATGAAAAATCATAGAAATATATTTGTATATAGGCGATAAACTTAAAAATTTGATATTGAAAATATTTTAATCATATTTTACAACTACACACACTATAAATATATAAATGCAAAATAATTCCGTAAATAAATTTCAAGTAATAAATCAATTGCACACATGCACACAGCTGGTATGTAGATTTTTATTAAATTTATTTTTAAATTTATTTTCTGAATTATTTTACACTTATATATATAGTGTATGTAGTAAAAATATTTTCAATATATTAAAAAATTTTTAAATTGCCGAAATATATTTTTTATCATTTTTCTATATTTTAATATATATATATATATATATATATATATATTATAAAAAAATTGATATTGAAATATTTGAACTCTAATTTACTGGATGATATACTGAACATCCTTGCATTGATTATACATTACTCAACGTTCTTTCACGTTATAAGTATTTGGAGCAAATGATACAATAGCATCAATAATCAAAAAGAAATCAAGAATAATCAACATATCCGTTATATAATATATATATATATATATATATATATATATATGTTTGTCCCGGGCCAGTTTCCGGGACTTTTGACATCCCGTATTGGCAGATTCCGGGACATTTGGCATTTTCCAGGACTGACCTGGAAAAAATTTAGGTCCCACGGCAGTTTCCAGGACGCCCTGGAAACTGCCATTTAGATGAAATGGCAGATTCCAGGTCTGTACATTTAGATGTATATACATTAAATGTACAGACCTGGAAACTGCCATACACTTAAATGTATATATGTACATTTCGATGTATGACAGTTTCCAGGTCTGTACATTTAATCTAGAACTATATGGCAGTTTCCAGGTCTGTACATTTAAATGTATATACATCTAAATGTACAGACCTGGAAACTGCCATATATTTAAATGTATACATGTACGTTTCGGTGTATGGCAGTTTCCAGGTCTGTACATTTAATTTAGAACTATATGGCAGTTTCCAGGTCTGTACATTTAAATGTATATACATCTAAATGTACAGACCTGGAATCTGCCATTGTATCTAAATGGCAGGTTCCAGAACGTCCTGGAAACTGCCGTAGGACATAAATCTTTTTCAAGATATACCTATACAAAGAAAATAATAAATTTTTTATAATATATAATTATTGCATATACAAATATATACATTTCATAAATATACATGATTTCTAAACGCAAAGATATAATTACTTGATATATTTTTATAACTTCAAAATTTTAGGCTTACTAAAAGCAATTTTAAAAAAGCAATATTGCAAATGTTAGTAAGAAATGATGAAAAGAAATTAAAATTGTTGTTATTGTCGTTATATTCAAACAACCAGATTGTAATAAAAAATAATAAGAATTTAATAAAATGAAGATTATTGATTTTATTGCAATACCGAGAAAAGAGAGAAACATATTTCTTCATTATAGCAATAATAAAATCATTAGTTAACATCAGTTATTATAAGATTATTATAATAAAATATGATATTTCAAATTTATTGATATAGAAATAAGATTTCTACATATACAAAGAGACACTATCTTAAGAAAACTTACACTGATCCCGAAATATTCACGAATGCAAACAACTTTGCAAACCTTGAAACGTAATACATAGTTAATAACAGAATTATATGAAAAAATAAACACAAAAAGTTTAGACATGTCAGAAGATTTCTCCAAATGTTAATGAAAACTTATTAAAACGCAAATCAAAATTATTTACATTATGGTTATATTCACCAAGCTCAAGTTTAAATAAAAATTAACAAAAATAAATCAGTACTTAACTAATTATAATGAAAATATTTTTCGCGGAATAATTTATTACTTCAGAATTTGAATTAAGATTTATAGAAATAATACAAATTTAAGATACAATATTTTCAAACAATTTTAACGGTCCTGGAAAATGCCGTATTTTCAATAATGCAAATAATTTTCCAGAACTTAAAACACAAGTCATTCTAATAGTAAGATTATATAAAAGAACGTCGACAAATTTAGAAGAACTCACCAGAAGCCTTCTCAAAATAATATTACTTCAAGTGTAAATGCAAATAATGTGTGCAAATTTACAAATTATCAAAACTAGTGATATTATTCTTATATATAAACATTCAATTTATACCGTATTAAATTAAAAAATCAGCTTTCAGTAGTTAATCAAAATGTAAATATGATCTTTCGAAGTAGTATTTATTATAATTTCGAATTAAGACTTATAAAAGAATAAAAAGAGACAATATTTAAAAAAAGCTTTACTAATCCCGGAACATGCTGTGTATGTTCAAAAATGCAAATGTCTGAATAATTTAGAACTTATTATGTTGCTCTAATAGCAGAATTATAAAAAACTTCTCGATAACTGTAGACTTATCAGAAATCTTCTTAAAATAAAACTACTTCAAGTTTCAATGTAAATGTGTATGTGAAAATCTAAACCAAAATTTACTGTCGATATTATTCCATCCGAAAATTTAATTTGCATGGTATTAATACAAAAATCAACTGTCAACACATAATTACATGTAAATATGGTCTTTTGAAGTAGAATTTAATACTTGAAAGTTAAAATTTTAATTGAAATAATCCAAAGAAACATTATATTTAAAAAATTTAATCGGTCCCGGAACATGCCGTACGTTCAATAATGCAAATAATTTTTTAAATCTAAATACATAATACTCATTCTAATAGCAGAATTATTTGAAATAAGATCCTTGATAAATGTAGACTTACCAGTAACTTTCTTAAAATAAAACTACTTTAAGTTTCAATGCAAAGTGTATGTGAAAACCTAAAACAAAGTTTATTGAGAGTACTATTATATCCAAAGATTTAATTCACATGGTTTTAATAAAAAAAAGTCAGCTCTCAATAAATAATTATATGTAAATATGATCTTTTAAAGTAGAAATTAATAACTGAAAATTAAAATTTATAATGAAAATTATTTCATTTTGTATTAACAAAGAGGACAATTTAAGAAAGTTTTGTCGGTCCCGAAACATGCCGTATGTTTAAAAATGCAAATATCTTTTCAGAATTTAAAACTTATTATGTCACTCTAAAAGCAGGACTATATAAAACAAAATTCTCGATAATTGTATACTTAAAAAAGTCTTCTTAAAAATAAACCTACTTCTTAAGTTTCAATGCAAGTGTAAATGTGAAAACCTAAACCAAAATTACTGATTTTATTGTTATATACAAAGACATAATTTACATACCTTTAATCCAAATATCAGATCGCAACATGTAATTATAATGTGAATATGATCTTTTAAAGTAGCAATTAAAACTGCAAATAAAAATTTATAATGAAATACTACAAAGACGCGATAATTAAAAAAAAATGTTATCGGTCCCGAAACATGCCGTATGTTTAAAAATGCAAATACTTCTGAATTTAAAACGTCCCCCACACAGCGAAAATTATATGACATAAATTCCTCAACAACTTTAAACTTACCAGAAGCTCTTCTTAAAATAGAATTATTTCGACCATTAATGCATTGATGTGTGTGGACATCCAAACAAAAATTAATGCATTATACCCGAATATTCAATTTAAATTGTTTTAATCTACAAATCCATTTTCAACACTTAATTATAATGTAAATATGATATTTTAAAGTAAAATATAACTAGAAATTAAAATTTTAATGGAAATAATACGAAAAAGCAATACCTTACATAAATTTATGCTGTCCCAGAAAATGCCATATACTCAAAAATGCAAATAGCTTTACAGAATTTAAAACTTATTATGTTGCTCTAATAGCAGGATTATATGAGACAAAATTCTCGTGAAATGTAGACTTACCAGAAGCCTTCTAAAAAATAAATCTACTTCAAGATTCAATGAAAATGTGTGTGTGAAAAAACTTAAACCAAAATGAATGACTTTACTATTATATCCAAAGAGATTTACTTAACTTTAAAATCCAAATATCAGCTCTCAACACGTAATTATAACGTAAATACGATTTTTTGAAATAAAATTTTATAACAAGATATTAGACTTTATATAGAAATAATACAGATCGACATTACTTTAATACATTTTTTTATTGGTCCCGGAATTTGCCAAATATTAAAAAATGCAAATATCTTTCCAGAATTTAAATCTTATTATGTCGCTCTAATAGCAGGATTATATAAAGCCAAAGTTTCTTACAACTTGCGACTTACCAGAAGCCTTCTTAAAAATAAACCTACTTCTCTCTCGCAGTAGTCTCAACGCAAATGTGGGTGTGAAAACCTAAACCAAAATTATTGACTTTATTCTTATATACGGAGATACAATTAACATATTTTTAATCCAAATATTAGAACCTAACACATAATTATAATGTGAATATGATCTTTCGAAGTAGAAATTAATAACGGAAAATTAAAATTTATAATAAAATAATACAAGGAAGCAATAATTTAAGAAAAATGACATCCCAAAACATGCCGTATCTTCAAAATAGCAAATAATTTTTCTGAATTTAAAACGTCCCCCTTATAGTGATATTATATGACAAAGAATCCTCGATAACTATAAACTTACCAAAAGCCCTTTTTAAAATAGAATTATTATTTCAACCATTAATGCATTGATGTGTGTGGACATTCAAACCAAAATTAATGCATTATAGCTGAAGATACAATTTAAATCGTTTTAATCTAAAAATCCATTCTCAATTAGCACTTAATTATAATGTGAATATAATACTTTGAAGTAGAATGTAATAACTAAAAATTAAAATTTATGTAGAAATAATACAAAAAAGCATTACCTTATAAAAAGTTTAGCGGTCCCGGAAAATGCCGTATGCTCAAAAATGCAAATATCTTTCCAGAATTTAAAACTTATTATGTTTCTCTAATAGCAGAATTATATGAAACAAAATTCTTGATAACTTTAAACTTGTTAGAAGCCTTCTTAAAAATAAACTTCAAGATTCTATGCAAATACGTATGTGAAAATCTAAACCAAAATTTCTTGACGTTACTATTATATATCCGAAGATTCAATTCACATATCGTTTTAATTCAAAAGTAAGCTCTCAGCATAAAATTATATATAAATATAGTTTTTTGAAGTAGAATTTAATAACTCAAAGTTAAAATTTATATTTAAATAATACAAAGAAACATTACTTTTAAAATTTTATCGGTTCCGGAACATGCCGTACGTTCAATAATGCAAATAATTTTTCTATAACCTAAAAACATAATACTCGCTCTAATAGCAGAATTATTTGAAACAAATTTCTCGATAACTTTAGACCTACCAGTAGCGTCCTTAAAATAAAACTGCTTCAAGTTTCAATGCAAATGTGTATTTGAAAACCTAAACCAAAATTTATTGACGTTACTATTATATATCCGAAGATTCAATTCACATGGTTTTAATTCAAAAGCTAGCTTTCAATATATAATTATATGTATTAATATGATCTTTTCACGTAGAATTTAATAACTAAAAATTAAAATTTATATTTGACACAACAAGAAGGATTGGATAACTACATCATACAGGAATACTGCACATCGTGTATTTCACAAGACAAACTTTTATATCAATATGGCGATGGCGAGAGAGAACATTAATTATAAATTAATATAGATGGTCGATCGGGACGACCAAAAAGATTATAAATAGCGACACCACAGTTCGCGTTGATTGGCTAGCTTAGCAATATTGTTATAGATGTGATCGTTAATGCTCTAACAATATTGCAATAATACAAAATAAAATTATTTAAAAAATAGTTTATCGGTCCCGGAACATGCTGTATGTACACTAATCGTATGCAAATAGCTTTTAAAACTTTACAACATTATATCTCGTTTGAATAGCAAGCTTATATAAAAAATCTGTATAATCTTAGACTTTTATCAAAAGTATTTAAAAACTACTTTAATAAAAAATGATATAAAATCAAATTGAAATTATACTGACGAATGTTCAATTTAAATCGTTTTAATCCAAAAATCGATTCTCGAATAATTAATTATAAATTAATTATAAAAATCGATTCTCCAATAATTAATTATAATGTCAATATAATCTTTCGAAATAGAAATTAATAACTAAAAACTTAAAATGAAATAATACAGAGGCAATAATTTAAAATTTTTTTCTGTCCCGAAACATGCCGTATGTTCAAAAATGCAAATAATTTTCCTGAATTTAAAACGTCCCCCTCTAAATAATAATATTACATGACAAACTTTTAATTATAATGTAAATATGCTATTTCAAAGTAAAATTTAATAATTTAAAATTAAAATTTACATAGAAATAATAAAAAGAGACATTACTTTATAAAAATTTTAGCAGTACCGTAATATACCGTATGTTCAAAAATGCAAATCATTTTCTTGATTTTAACACGTCCCCTTCATAGCGATATTATATGACAAAAACTCTTCGATAACTTTAAACTTACCACACACACACACACACACACACAAAAGCCCTTTTTAAAATAAAATAATTATTTTAACCAATTATGCAAATGATGTGTGTGGGCATCCAAATAAAAATTAATACATTCCATCCGAATATTCAAATTAAATCGTTTTAATCTAAAAATCCATTCTCAACACTTAATTATAAAGTGAATATGATATTTTGAAGCAGAACTAAATAACTGAAAATTTAAATTTACATAGAAATAATACAAAGAAACATTAGTTTACAAAAATTTTAGCGATTCCGGAATATGCCGTATGCGCAGAAATGCAAAAACCTTTCCAAAGTTTAATATTACGTCGCTCTAATAGCAGGATAATATGAAACAAATAATTCCTCGATACCTTTTGACTTACCAGCAGCTTTTTTAAAAATAAACTTACTTCAAGTTTCAATGCAAATATGGATGTGAAAACCTAAACCAAAATTATTGACCTGATTGTTATATTCGAAGACACAATTTACATAGCTTTAATCCAAATGTCGAAATATCAGCTCTTAACACGTAATTATAATGTGAATATGATCTTTCGAAGTAGAAGCTAATAACTGCAAATTAAAATTTATAATGAAATAATACAAAAAGACGATAATTTAAAAAATGTTGTCGGTCCCGAAACATGCTATATATATGTTCAAAAATGGAAACATCTTTCGAGAATTTAAAACGTATTACGTCGCTAATAGCAGGATTATATAAAATAAAATTTTCGTTAACGTTAGACTTATCAGAAGCTTTTTTAATACGTAAATATAATTTGAATATGATCTTTCAAATAGAAATTACTGAAAATTAAAATTTATATAGAAATAATAGAAAGAGACATTACTTTACAAAAATTTTAGCGGTCCCCGAATATGCCGTATGTCCAAAAATGCAAATATCTTCCCATAATTTAAAACTTATTATGTCACTCTAATAGCAGGATTATCTGAAACAGAATTCTCGATAACTTTTAGACTTACCACAAGCCTTCTTAAAAATAAACTTACTTCAAGTTTCAATGCAAATGTAGGTGAGCTTTAATTCAAAAATTAGCTCTCTCATATAAGTATAATGTGAATGTGATCTTTCGAATAGAAATTAATAACTGGAAATTAAAATTTATATAGAAACAGTACAAAGAAGCTATATAATTTAAAAAAAAAACGGTGTCGGAATATATCGAAACATGTCGTATGTTCAAAAACGCAAATAATTTATTTGAATTTAAAACGTTCCCCTCATAGCGAAATTATATGACAAAAAGGTTTTGATAACTTTAAACTTATCAGAAGCCCTTCTAAAAATAGAATTATTATTTCAATCATTAATGCAAATAATGTGTGTGGACATCCAAATAAAAATTAATGCATTACACCCGAAGATTTAATTTAAATCGTTTTAATCTAAAAATCCATTCTCAACACTTAATCACAAATGACATTTAATTAAATATGACATTTCGAAGTAGAATTTAATAACTGAATATTAAAATTTATGTAGACATAATACAAAATACATAAGACATTAATTTACAAAAATGTTAATGGTCCCGGAATAGGTCGTATGTTCAAAATGCAATTACCTTTCCAGAATTTAAAACTTATAACGTCGCTCTAATAGCAAGATTATATAAAACAAAATTCTTGATAACGTTAGACTTACCAGAAGCCTTCTTAAAAATAAATCTACTTCTCAAGTTTCAATGCAAATATAAATGTGAAAAACTAAACAAAAAATTATTGATTTTACTGTTACATGCGAAAACAATTTACATAGTTTTAATCCAAGCATCAGCTCTCAACGCGTAATTATAATGTAAATATGATCTTTTAAAGTAAAAATTAATGACTGCAAATTAAAATTTATAATGAAATACAAAAAAGCGATAATTTAAAAAAACTGTCGATCCCGAAACATGCCGTATGATCAAAAATACAAATAATTTTTCTGAATTTAAAACGTCCCTCTCATGGCGATATTACATGACAAAAAATCCTCGATAACTTTAAAATTACCAGAAGCAAATAATGTGTGTGAACACTCAAACCAAAACTAATGCATTTTATATCCGATGATTTAATTCGTTTTAATTTAAAAATCCATTCTCAACACTTAATTATAATGTGAATATGATATTTCAAAGTAGAATTTAATAATTGAAATTAACATTTATATAGAAATAATACAAAGAGACATTACTTTACAAAAATTGTAGCGGTCTCGGAATATGCCATGTGTTCAAAAATGCAAATATTTTTCCAGAATTTAAAACTTATTAAGTCGCTCTAATATCAGTATTATATAAAACAAAATTCTCGATGACTTTTTTTAGACTTACCAGAAGCCTTCTTAAAAATAAATCTACTTCAAGTTTCAGTGCAAATGTGGGTGTAAAAACCTAAACCAAAATTATTAACTTTACTCTTATGTAAGAAGATCGATTCAATTCGCATGGTGTTAATATAAAAATCAATAACATGTTAACAGTTAATTATATGTAAATATGGTCTTTTGAAGTAGAATGTAATAACGGAAAGTTAAAATTTATACCGAAATAATACAAAGAAACATTACATTTAAAAAATTTATCCGTCCCGGAACATGCCGTACGTTCAATAATGCAAATAATTTTTCTATAACCTAAAAACATAATACTCACTCTAATAGCAGAATTATTTGAAGCAAAATCCCCGATACCAGTAGCCTTCTTAAAATAAAATAAAACTACTTCAAGTTTCAATGCAAATGTGTATTTGAAAACCTAAACTAAAATTTATTGACGTTATTATATATCCGAATTTAAGATTCAAATCATATGATTTTACTTCAAAAGTTAGCTCTCAACATATAATTATATGTAAACAAGTTTTTTTGAAGTAGAATTTAATAATTAAAAATTAAAATTTTTATTTGACAGAACGAGATATGCGATATCTAAATCACACAGGAAAAATATAATACTGCACATCGTGTATTTGCACGAGACAAACTTTTATATCAATATGGCGAGAGATAACTAATTATAAATCAATATAGATGATCGATCGAGACGATCAAAAACGTTATAAACGGCGACACCACATTTTGTCTTAATTGGCTAGCTTAGCAATTGTTATAGCAGATGTGGATCGCTAATGCTCTAACAATTTCGCAAGAACATATAATTCAAAACTTAAAAGTGAAACTTAAATTTCAATTTTATAATTTCTTATTTTATTAAATATATTATGTAATAAATGTATTTTGCTTTACTTATAAGAAAAGAAAACTTATTGTTAACTTTTATTGCTAATAAGTAATATTAGCATATATATAATAAGAAATAAACTTGGACATTTCATAACAAATTAATGCAGTAATTGAAACTTACAATAGAGAAACTAAAAAATAAAAAACATTCTGCCTTCAAAAATAAAAATACATATCTTAATTTTAGTAATTAAAATTTATAATCAAAAAGTTAATAGACTCAAAAATTAAAAACATATTATTTTAAAAAATAAAAATGCATATCTAAAATGGCATAATTGAAATTTGTAAAATCAAAATCTTAATAAACTCAAAAATCAAAAATAGGATGCCATAAAATATAACAATACATCTTAAAAATTAAATGTAGATACATTTACTCAAAAGTCTTATTTTTTTTTAATTGGTTGTGTAACCATGTTTTTATGACATCAGTTTTTCTATCTCTTAGAACATTATATTTCATTTTAACTTTTTCTATCTCCGATAAAGGTGGTAATATTCCTTTACGTGTATAATGTGAAAAATATGTTTTTGCATTTTTTATCTCTTCATTTGTCCATCGTTTTTTTTTCTTATATGTTTCACGACCTGTAATACAAATAATTCATGATAAAAAATAATTGAAAGAGATCTTGATGTAACATCTAATTATTATATAGTTACATGATTGATTTTTGCGCTTCCTTTTTCTGTTTTCGCTGTTTATACTTTCATTAGAACTGTTTGAGCTCATATTCATTACATAATCTGATATGTCACTATCTGAATCTTTTCCTATTAAAAAAAACTATAATATAAACATGAAATCCAAATGTAAAGAGAATAAGAAAAAGAGATCAAATTATATTTAAAATATACATTTTGTTTAACCTAATTGTTTTTATTTAGATAT